GCAATGACCCAATACTTTTGAAATATATATGTCTTTCATCTCTTTGGTTTCTTAATTTCTTTTTTATGAATTAGCTCCCTCTTTAGAGTTCTACTGTGATCATTTTCCTCTAATATATATTTTTTTAAAAATGTAATATCCACAGCAATAAGACTACATTCTCTCCCCTCCCCCACCTCCAATACATTACACAGGGATGAGATTTCATGTTGCTGGCCAGGGAACCACTAAAGAAAAGGAAGAAAACATTATGATTTTTTAGTCTAAGGTAAAGGATCAAACTAGATGTTACATGAAATTTGTTCAAAGCACACCTCAAAGCTCTTCTTTTTCAAAAAGCAGAGTTGAAGGAGACAGCTGGAAACAGAGAAGCAGTAAAGGAGGGTAGTGTATAACCCTGTCCCTGACAATTTTCCAGTTTCATATTGGCTTCTCATCAAAATACTTTTTTCTCAAAACAGCCTGATGGGAGAGGTTCTTTTTTTCCATGCATTTGCACATTAACATCCAGTTCAGCCCTTTAAATGGTAGGTTAATAATTGGTTATGAAAATGCACCTTTGGAGTCATTTCTCTTTTGAGTCACAAGCATTAGCTATCAGTCTCTGAGCTTAGATCACCGGCTTCTTGACCTCCATAGAGTTTACAGAGGGATTTGAAAAGGCAAAGAATATGAATGAATGACATACAGTATAATATAGTAATACTGTATTACATACAACACAATCACATATTGGTAAAATTCAAAGATATAGCTGTGTTAGTCTGTAGAATCAGTATGTAGAGAGATCTTGTAGCACATTCTGGGCAATAATGTCATCCTTTCAAGAACGCATACTGGCAGATCTTTACTTGCCTACAGACAGCCTCCAAACCTCAAACAGGTCCTTACCTACAGGAGGACACACAACACAGATGTGGACACTGGTACAAAGCCTTGCCACAAACCAAGATGCCAATTCTGCCCACACATTTATTCAGGAAATGTCATCACAAGACCTAATGACATCACCCACAATATTACGGGGACCTTCACGTGCTCATCCTCCAATCTGATTTATGTCACACCGTGTCAGCAATGCCCTTCAGCACTCTCCATTGGGCAAACAGGTCATTCCCTGCACCAGAGGATAAATGGACATAAATCAGACCTTAGGAATGGGAATACACAAAAACCAGTGGCAGAACATTTCAATCTCCCTGGGCATTCCATCTCAGACCTCAGAACAGTGGTCCTTGAACAAAAGAATTATAAAGGAAGATTGGAAAGAGAAACAGCAGAATTAGAATTCATCCACAGACTACATTCATCCACAGACTACAGTCAATCAGCAATGGGCTGAACAAAGATAATGGTTTCCTGGCACACTACACACATTTCAACACTATCTAACCACCAGTCTCATGGAGGAGCCATTGACCTGTTCACTACACCACACTCATCCATTGTCCTCACCTACAGCCTAGTTTCCACTGCCTTTGTTCACCAAGGACCATTGTTAAAACTGGACTTGCCACTTCATTTCCATACACAAAGGATTTTGAATCTGAATAGACATTCTCACACACTAATAGCATATATATCTGTCCTTGGCTTTCCACTCCACCAAATGCATCTGGGGAAGTAGAATTAAGTCTATGAGAGCTCATGCCAACTTCTTTCTTTCAGTTATCTCAAAGGTGCTATGGGATCCTTTTGCATACTGACAGACTTATAGTTTGGGAAATCTAAAGTCAGTCTCCAAGGTGCTATAAGATCTCTCTATACAGAGACCATCTTCTTGATAGTAATAAAACGTGGTCCACTTTTGGATTTTGCTCCCTTAAAATCCAAAAGTGGAACACATTTTATTACAATTAAGAAGATGGTTAGTTGTTCTCTACTATAGGTCCATCCACTGTTTTCTAGGACATTGCAGAGTCGGAAAACGTGCATTAAAAAATAACCAAAATAATCAAGCGCTTAGAATACCTTCCTTTTGTAGAAGGGTTCAAAGTGGTCCCATTGTTTAGGTAGATAGTGTCTTACCCACTTAACCTCAACCCCAACACTGCTAGCCAGAAATGAGGTACAAGGTGTCCTTAGGCACTGCAAGGGAGGAGTCTGGATAACAAACTAGATATAGTTGGTGTCACACCTGGTGCCTTTCCTCTCTGCCCTCTAGATTGGAAATTATACTGTTCATATTATATTTATATTAATTATATTATATCAATAGTATCATGTAAGTCTAAATAAACATAATAATAATAATAATAATAATAATAATAATAATAATAATAATAATAATAATAATTTTTACCCCGCCTCTCTGTCGAACAATCGGGGTGGCTTACAACAATTAAAATCCATACAAGTCCAAAATAAACATCCCCCACCCCTCCCCTCATTAAAACAGTACTAAACTACACATCCATTAAAAGTCTTAACATAAAATATCAAAAGATAGAATAAAACAAAGACAATAAAACAATTGAAAAGACTACAACAATCAGCAACAAACAGTGGGAGAGCCGAAAACTAAGATGGTAAAAACACACAGACTCCTGAGGCTGGGAATCTAATCTGGAAAGACCTGCCGAAAAAGATCCGTCTTCAGCGCCTTTTCATGATCTGATGGATCTCATCCGGCAGGCCATTCCATAATCTGGGGGCGATTACCAAGAATGCCCTCTGGGAGGTTGCAGACAGCCTTGATTTCATTGGCTGCAGCAAATTCCTCCCAGAGGACTGAAGTGCATGGGAAGGATTGTATGGGAGGAGGCGGTCCTGGAGATAGGTTGGACCCAAGCCATTTAGGGCTTTAAAGGTGATAACCAACACCTTATACTGGGCCCAGAAACTAATAGGCAGCCAGTGGAGAGATTTTAATATGGAGTTATGTGGTTTCTCCTAGATTTTCCTGAGACCACTCTGGCTGCCATATTTTGTACTAACTGAAGTTTCTGGGCCAAGCACGAAGATAGCCCCATGTAGAGCGCATTACAGAAATCCAGACGAGAGGTTACCAGTGCGTGCACCACAGTCTCAAGGTCCCTTACTTGGAGAAACTAGAAAAAGATTTTCCCCTTCCTCCTGTTCACATATTACTAAACTAATGAAACGGATTGGCAGAAAACTCAGGAAAAACAAAAAGAAAGGGCTTCTTCATTTAATGCATAATTGTTTTACAACAATTAATTGTTTTGAACTACAATTCCCATCAACCCCCTATCTAGCCAATTGTATGGAATCATGAAAGCTGTCATCTGTAATATCTAAGCAGGCCAAGATTCCCCACTCTTGGTTTATGGAATCCTGTTTCATAAAACTGTGGCAGTGGCTGTGGATGTAAATGAGTTTCACATTTGGCTAAAGAAACCTTCAGAAGATGTTAAGATCAATGAATACCAATCATGACAGCAGGTAACCATCTGGGGCCCTCCAGATTTCATTGAACTGTAACTCCCATCAGTCCTAGCCAACAGAGCCAATAGTGAAGAATGATGGGAGCTGTGGTGCAACCAGATTTAAAGGGTCACATGGTCTCCTATCTCTATAATACAGATCTTGCCTAACTGAATTTCTAAAACCAATGATGTGATTGATCAGGTTTTGTTTTTATTTTTTATTTTTCTATCTCTGCTGTTAATACTGATGGAAGAAGCGGGACTAGGGATGCATCTACCCTGTAGAAATAATGCAGTTTGACACCACTTTAATTGCTGTGGCTCCATCCTACAGAATCATAGGATTTGTAGTTTGGTGAGGCACCAGCACTCTTTATCAGGGAAAGCTGAAGACCTTGTAAAATTACAAATCCCAAGATTCCATAGGAAGGAGTTGCAACACTTAAAGTGGTATCAAAGTGCATTATTTCTACAGTGCAGATGCACCCTTAAAAGTGGCTTCTGAGGTGAGTTTGGTTCAGGAAAGATATAGGTCAACAGAGAAGGAAAGGATGTGGTCAATAGGAAAAGCCAACTGGCTGAAGAGAACTAGTCTTATGAGGCACTGAACTATGGGCCTTTGCAGACTGCCACAAATAGTGCAAATTGAGTCCATTTTAAGGGTTAGGGTTAGTGCTGGGGAATCATGGGAATTGTTTTTTTCTGAGACATTGAGCCTTCTTTGTCAGAGATCTCTGGTGCCACAATAAAATATAGCTTCCATGATTCCCTAACCCTAACCCTAACCTTTAAAGTGGACTCAATTTGCACTATTTCTAGCAGTCTGCAAAGGCCCTATAACATTTCACTATCTGAGGTTAAGGTCAAGAAGTTCCCCCTTTCACAGAAGACAACTAAACTGGCAGTTAAATAACACACTGTTATTTCCACAGCAGTATTTGAGGAAAGGAGTCTAGTGATTTACAGACAGCTCTGTCCTCCCACAAAGGCAAAGTACCACACTCCAGGTGTGCTGACCCCTGCAATTTCCCCAAATGCAGGAAACTGTATAATTTGTGCAGCAAGATTTGCTACCCTGAAGCAGTCACCTCACCCTTGCCTCATGATAGGATCTGTCCTGCCCTTTTTTAGGGATGAAAAATGAAGGGAAACAATTTGAAGCAGCCCAGGGAGCCAAGGTCTGACAGATATTTGGAGCTGGGATTGCAACAACAATGTAGCCAAACTGTGCAGAGACTGGGAAATGATGGAAATGTAATTAATGAGGATTCCAATAAAGTGATGGCTAATTAGAAAAGAAGGGCAAGGAACTCTCAAAATAGGGTAGGCTAGGTGGGATGGTGGGGCAGGAAAAACTGACAGACCTATAGTTAGGGTTTGGAGGACCCGAAGTAGATTATTGGGGGGGGGGGGTAGGAGAATCTGACAGACTTCCAGTTGGGGTATGGGGACCTAAGGCAGAATATCTGAGGTATGGGAGTAGGCATGATAAACTGACAGACTTAGAGTTTGGGGGATCTAGAGGCAATTATATGGGGTGTAGAAGGAAGCAGGGGAAAATGACACCCTTATATGACAGTTTGGGAAATGTAGAGTTTATTATAGGGTATAGGGTGTGGCATAGTGGTTTGTGTGTTGGACTGAAACTCTGGAGACCATGGTTTGATTCCCTGCTTGGCCATGAAACCTACTGGATGATCTCAGGTAAGTCTTAGTTTTTAAGCCTGAGGAAGGCAATGGCAAACACCCTCAGAAGAATAGTTTTTTGTGGGTTTTTCGGGCTGTGTGACCATGTTCTAGAAGAGTTTCTTTCTGACATTTCACCAGCATCTGTGGCTGACATCTTCAGAGAATACTGGAATGGGAGAGAGGGGGTCTATATATACTGTGAGACCCTGGGTAGGGAGGAGTGGTTCCCA